TTCTCTTCCTTCTCTGTGAAAAGTTCTCCTCTTATGCCTCCCATCCCACCTCTCTCCTTCTCACTCATTGTCTCTCTGAGCTCTTTCTTTTCGCTGAGGGCATAGCCTCTTGCCTGGCCTTGTACTCACTCTCTTTGGGTGGTTGATGGGTGCTCTGGTGTGGTTTACTCCCTCTTTCCTACCAAACATCTATCATCCTTATCTCACCTCCTTTTTGTGCTTGTTACTCTCTTATAATACCTCTAATCTTCTGCACTTATACGACCTAATTTGATTATTGTGTTGCAAGTTGAGTAAAATGCTTACTAAAATATAAAACTTTCTCTTTCTTCAGAATCTGCAAGGCCCCTGGCTTCCCAACACTTATGATATTCTCAGCAAGATCTCAGAGACGACAACCTTTGTGGCCAGAATACTCTGTCATTCTGGTAAGATTTATTTCCAAGTACTTGTGAAAGTTGGGCCTTTTTAAATGTTCAAAATGTGGCAAACTTTTCTCTGCCAAAATTGGTCTCATTGGCCACAGCAGAAGCCGCAAGTCATCGTAACCTTAAATTCTTCTTTTTCCCTTCGAGAAATATTCTCCTCTGCAGATTTATTGTTTATCGTCAGACATTGACGGACGAGCTTTTATTATTAGTCATTTTCTCCCTCTCTGTTCTTTCTTTCATTTTCTCTCTCTCTGTTCTTTCTGTCATTTTCTCTCTCTCTCTCTCTCTCTCTCTCTCTCTCTCTCTCTCTCTCTCTCTCTCTCTCTCTCTCTCTCTCTCACTCTCTCACTCTCTCATTCTTACTCCCACTCTCTCACTCTTACTCATACTCTCTCTCTCTCACCCACTCTATCTCTCTCTCTCTCGCTTAGCGGGTATCTTAATTTTAGTAAGCTCTAGATATCAATTTAGCTGTATGGGGCAAATGGAGGTAAATTTTTGGATGACTATTGCTGAGAAAGAAGAGGAAAAGTTATGTCTCTGACATTATGATGCATATCTTCAGGGTCGTCTTGCGTGGTGGACCTGATCCTGCCTCAGGGTCAGCTGGTCAACTCGATGCTGGTCAAGCAAGAGGGCCCCTCTCAGCAGGTCACTTCCTCCTCCACTGTGGTCAGTGCGGCCGAGCTTGGCCAGCAGCAGCAGCAGCAGCAACAACAGGAGACAGGTGTGAAGGAGATCTCGGCCGGAACAGCTTCCTCTACTGTCCAGGCCGTGACTGCTGACCACAACAGGCCCGACAGTGACCAGAAGTCCAACAGCTCGTCGTGTGGCTCGCGACGTAGCAGTGTCATCTCGCATACTTCTACTGGATCAAAGTCCAAGGTGTTTGCTGATGACCCAGGTAAGATCATGTTGTCTTTAAACAGAAATGGATAAGCTTTTCTTTCATTTAGGATTATAAAAGATAATAAAGGAGTATTGTAAGCTGAAATATAAAAATAATTGTGTTGTGTAGAGGTAATGATTTTATTGAGTTTCTTCGTCTTAACTCTTTCCCTATGGATAGGTGTTCGCCATTTCTATCCCACCTATTTTTAGATTCTAAAAATGTGTTTGCATAAAACAGCTATAACTCGCAAAATATATAACCAGAATTTTTACCCCTTCCAGTTATTGAAAATTTAACAGACAACGTAAATGAGAAACCTGTGGATGTAGAATGCTTAGAAAGGACTATAATGTAAAGTGGAAATGAACACAAGTGATTAGTAAGAATGCCACCTGCAGTGGTGGAGCTTAGGTATGGGGTACTTTCATTTCCGGTTTGAAGTGGCGAGTTGGAGGGAATGAGTTAAAAGTGTGGGTACGGTTTTAGAGGATATGATTTATATATGCTTTTGGAAGGATTTTTTTTTTGTGGTTGTTTTTTTGCGGGGGGGGGGGGGTCGGAAAAAAAATTGTGCTTCTAATATAGAATTTTGTAGGCAATGGTTTTATTTAGTATTTCCGATATTGCATTCCTAGTGGATATGGATTTTATGTTTTTGAAAAGTTGTTTCTTTTTGGGTTTTTATTTATTTATTTTTTTTAGTTTACGGAAGGGGAAAAAAGCATGTTTCTGATGAAGCTATCTCTTTGTGTCTGTCCAGAACCCCTGGAGGTCCCAGAAGACGAGGACTTTGCTGTGTACGTGTGTACTGTGTTGACTGAGTCAAGTGTGCTGGTGCGCGTCATTGATGCAGAGTACTCGGTATGTGTACTAGCAGTACTGACTGTTCTTTGGAGGCCTTGTTTCTATCATGGGTGGCTGGTGGACGGTTTGTTGTGCTCTGCTCTTGTTTTCTTCTCTTTCTATTACTGTTGTTTTTTAATGCTTTTATGTATATAAAAAAAAAATTGCTTTTTAGTCTTTTTTGTTTGTTTGTTTATTTCCATTCCAGGTTTTGTTACTGTTGTTGTCACTATTTCTATTGCTGTGTGTTCATTAATGTTTTCATTGCTGTTATTTTCTCCTGTTTGTTTTTACTGTTTTTATTATTGTTAATTTGTGTTTCTGTTTATTTTTACTATTTTATTACTCTACACTTTTCTCTTGTTTATGTTCACTGCTTCTATTGCTGTTGTTCTCTTTATTCGTTGGAGAGTACTGCTGTACTTCTATTTTCTCTCTGTTGTTTCTGTGTATCCATCTTGTTTTTTCTGAGCACTCATTTGAATATGACTTCCATTGAAAACTACCCCCCGTGGCGGTGCTACTGACTGAAGTGTCTTTAGGACATTTCCAAAGGGGGACATTAACATACTCTTATGCACAGTAGAGTTGTAAACAGGCTGATTCGTCAATGTCATACTCATAACTGTGCCTGAACTGCAACTGGGAACTGCTGCTTTTTCTTTCCTAATCCTTACTACTGTAATTTTTCCTCTACATCTTTTGTATGCTTGTGACACTCTTGTGACCCGCTATATCCGGAGTGCCTTGATAGTTGAAACAGACTTTGTGCTGTTGAAGCTAGAGAGGTGAGCAGAGCAAGCCTGATTCCCTGTATGGACTTCTCTGTTGACATCCACCCCTTGGCACTCATATGACCGTATGCAGTTGCAAGTGCAGTAAAAACTCTACTAATGTAAACCATTGAAAACTCCAGTCCTTTTTTCCTGTTTAGGGTTTTCTCAGTGCAGCAAACTGTCAATGAAATTAACCCGCTTTGCCTTTTGCCGTTACACTGATCAGTCCACATGGTCCAAATACAGCTCGTATATCATTATATGAGAGACCACATTAGCTTTAGTGGTGTTTGCACCTCAAAGCAAGAAATTGCAATGCGATGTTTCAAGAGATTGCAGGCTCCGGGGTTCCTGGTTTTGTGCCCTTTAGAAGGGCACTTTACATGAATTGTCTCGTTTGACTCAATTTTATTGTAGATGGACATTGCATTCGGAGTTCCTGCATGTTGCATGGGGTGTTAAACCCTTACAATTCCCCCCATTTTTGTTTGGTCAAGGTGTGTCGGTGTTTGCGCTGCCTTGTTTCCTCCCCTTGGGTTGTAGGTGCTGTTGATGGGTTCAGTATGTTTTGATACTTTTTAGGAAGGGACTTTCCAACCATACAAAAAGCAGTAAAAACTCTACTAATGTAAACCATTGAAAACTCCAGTCCTTTTTTCCTGTTTAGGGTTTTCTCAGTGCAGCAAACTGTCAATGAAATTAACCCGCTTTGCCTTTTGCCGTTACACTGATCAGTCCACATGGTCCAAATACAGCTCGTATATCATTATATGAGAGACCACATTAGCTTTAGTGGTGTTTGCACCTCAAAGCAAGAAATTGCAATGCGATGTTTCAAGAAAATTGTTTCTGCTCCTGTCTTACTTTGATCTGTGTATTTATTGTCTTTCTGGCTCTTACGTGACCATAATTGTGATTATAGCTAGTTTTGTTAAACCCGCCTTGACGTCTCATGCTCAATCTGCATTTGCCAGGACAAATTGGACGACTTAGAGCAACAGATCCGGGAGAAATTCGACAGCTGGCCGAAGCCTGTTGAGGTCAAGAAGACGAATGTGTATGCATGCATGCTTGAGATGGAGGAAGAAGAGGAAGAGGGCACCGAGGATGGAGAGCAGGAGGAGGAGAAGACGAAATACTACAGAGCCAGGGTCCTGGCGGAGAATAAAGAGGTGAGTTGTGTGTGGTGGTGAGTGTCGGTAGTTTGGTGGTTAGGCTGTCGGGCTCATAATCATGAGATTGCAGGCTCCGGGGTTCCTGGTTTTGTGCCCTTTAGAAGGGCACTTTACATGAATTGTCTCGTTTGACTCAATTTTATTGTAGATGGACATTGCATTCGGAGTTCCTGCATGTTGCATGGGGTGTTAAACCCTTACAATTCCCCCCATTTTTGTTTGGTCAAGGTGTGTCGGTGTTTGCGCTGCCTTGTTTCCTCCCCTTGGGTTGTAGGTGCTGTTGATGGGTTCAGTATGTTTTGATACTTTTTAGGAAGGGACTTACCAACCATACAAAAAGCAGTAGTGAAGAATATTGTTACAAAATATCATGAAACAAACCATTTTTAATAACGCCAGCCAGTGACAACTTCTGTTAAAGATGAGAGCGGGCTTTTTTTTTTTTTGGTTCTTTTTTTTTTTTACCTGGAGAGTGAACTGTCTCATGGTGCTCATATGACCTTATGCAGTTGCGAGCGCCATAAAACCCTCTACTATAAAAAAAAAAAAGTGAACTGTCTTGTAGTGTGCTGTGTTTGGTGTTTGTTTTGATATTCTTTCATCTGTTGATTGAACTTGATCAGAGCAGGTACAACTGCATGTGTTTGGTCGTGCTATCTCGTGGTGGAGAGTAGTTCTGTACTTCTATATTCCTTCTGTTGTTTCTGTGTATGGATAATTTTTTTTTTATGAGCTCTAAATGACCTTTTGATGTACTTCTCTTTATCCGAACAAACAAAACTGAAAAACACTGAAAAACTGACCCAATAATGTCATTGTGTCCACAGGAGAAGACAGTTGACATCTACTTACCGGACCATGGCCAGCAGGAAGTAGTCAGCCGCCACCAGCTGCGAGAAATTGACCCCAAGCTCAACTCCTCTCTCTCCTACCAGGTACTTTTTTGTTTTGTTTGCTAGATTTGTTCACTGAATCGGTGGTGCTGTAAAACACCTACTAAATCAATCAATCGAGATTTGTTCACATTTGCTCAGAAAGCCAATTTGCTTCGACCCTACTTGTCAGGGACGACCCAGTCTAAGTGATATATAGATATAGCAGCATGCTAGCAGACAGACTGAGATAGTTTAGGGCCACTGGTAGGTCTCACTTCTTCTTTTTTCCCTCTGTTATTGCTATCTTTGCTTTTTTTTTCCTCTGCACTATATGACCATTATTGTGTCAATGTGCTCTCTTTATTAAAACCAAATCTCTCAATGTTAGCTAGTTTCTGAGATAAAGCTCATATGCCTCTGTCATATCGTCGTCTAGTTGTTCAAATGTACTAAACCCAGAAAGCAATGTCTTTCAAAAGAGAGAAAAATCTGTTTCTTGTTAATAATTGTATACATGTAATGTATTTTTCGTTGCTTTTTTTTTTAGCGTCTTGAATTTGAATTTCAGCAAAATATTTTTTGAACACATGCTTCCTATACCACAAATTAAGAAACCGCAGTAAAAAAAAAAAGAAGAGAATTTTCACAATTTTGGGCTTATTACATATCTGAACGGCTTGCCAAACATATCTTTTTTAACACAATTACTAAATGTCTAATCTTTTCACTCTCTCCCTCTGTGGGTGGTTGGCAGGTGCTCTGGTGTGATTTGCTTCTTCTTTCCTATCGAACATCTATCGTCTTTATCTCCCCTCCTTTTTTGTGTTTGTTACTCTTTTGTAACACCTCTAATCTTCGGCACTTATATGACCTTATTGTATTGCGAGTGCAGTAAAACTAAACTAAAACTCTCTCCCTCTCTCTTTCTTCCCATCAGGCGGTCTTGGCCAACCTCCACGGGCTGGACAGTATCCCAGAGGGGCAGCGTGTTGTGGCTGCCGAGGCCCTGATTCACCTCACACTCACCGAGGCTACCACCTTCATGGCCGTCAGGAAAAACCTGGAGAATCTTAACGTGGGAGGAGCCTCCACCGTGGATAAAGTGCTGATCTCTCGGGTCAGAAAGGTGGGTGATTTGTGGTTTGTGGGTCAGGTTGGCACATAGTTTGGGGAATTTGATCGTTTTTTGGCGTAATTTCTGATTATTTTCCGTTGTCATTCTTTGTTAAAATTAACAGCATTGCATAATTTCACATTTTTGGGCTCAGTTTGCATAATTTCAGAATATTTTTTTTCACAAAAACCACGGAGCCAGCTTGTGGGTTAAGTAGGTCGGTGATTTGTGGGTAGGTAGGTTGGTATGTAACTTGTAGGCTAAGATGATGGGTGACTTGTGGGCTAGGAAGGACTAAGTCTTGTGCCCCAGGACATGTTTGAAGCCCTGCTGACAAAGTAAAATCTATTTTGTAGTGAAGATAAAATGTTCAAGGTGGAAGCAGCCTGTCTTCTAATTGATCAAAATTGTGTGGAGGACTATGTAAAACATTACAATGAATTGGTAACAGTCATGGTGTCGTATTCTTTGGAAAGGGTCTTTTCACGAATCTGCCTCATTTCACACAGGTGGGAATAGACAGTCGAAAGTTCTTGTCTGTCTGTGAGTGTTTAAACGTGTATAATCAGCAGTTTGCACTGTATGCTTCATGGAAAGCTGAGAATGTTTCGGAGTCTGGTTCTGGGTTCTGCTGAGGTAATAATAGTTGTTAAGCGCATATGGCATGCTGTAGAGCCAGGATATGTGCTAGATGAATGCAGTTCTTCTTCTTCCTCCTTTTCCTCCTCCTCCTTCTTTTTCTTCTTCTCCCTCCACCTCCTCCTCTTCCCTCTTCTCATTGTTATTATTATTATTATTATAATTATTATTGTGTTATTATTATTATTATGATACTAGCTGGGTACCCATTGGATGAACAGACTCCAAAAAATCGATCGTCAAGTCATTGTGGAACCAGTGCGCACTGCTTATGAAGGGAAGCCTCACTTTTTTTACAATGGCGTCTTAGAAGACGGACTTTCTGAAGATTAGATCTAAACGAAACTAATGAAAAACTGAAAATTAAACTACAGTGACTTCAGACTTCTTATTACAACTGTGCACCGTTTAAATGATTCTGAGCCACAGTTAATTTTTTCAAATTAGAAAGTTAAAAGTGGTTTAGATGTTTTAGGCGACCAAAGTAAAGAACTTTCACAAATATTATATATATAGAGATTAGTAGTAGTAGTAGCAGCAGTTGTAATATTGTTGATATTATTATCAGGGTTGGGTTGATTAAAATCAGGTTGATTTAAATCAGTTGATTTTTTTGATTTAAATCAACTTGATTTTTTAAATAAAAATCAGTGATTTAAATCACTTTAAAAAAAATTTATTTTTATTCAGTTTTTACACATTTCAACATTCAGAATTCCTTTCCTTGGTTTCATAAAACAGATACAAGGTTTAGTAGACTAATACAATCATGCTTAAAAGTCTGCTTTCCCCCCTTTAACTGTAAAATAATACAGTATTCAATTTACTTTTTTTTTCATAATTGAAATCAGAGCTGGTTTGATTTAAGTCAGTTGATTTTTTAAATTTTAATCAACTTGATTTTTTAAATAAAAATCAGTGATTTAAATCACTTTTCAAAAAATGTATTCAGCTTTTACATATATTTAAACATTCAGAATTCCTTTCCTTGGTTTTATTAAACAGATATAAGGTTTAGTAGACTAATATAATCATGCTTAAAAGTCTGCTTTCCCCCCTGTCACTGTAAAATAATACAGTTCTCAATTTACTTTTTTTTCATAATTGAAAACCAGGGTTGGGTTGATTTAAATCAGGTCGATTTAAATCAGTTGATTTTGTTTTATTTAAATCAACTTGATTTAAAAAATAAAACTCAGTGATTTAAATCACTTTAAAAAAATGTATTCTGTTTTTATATCTTTAAACATTCAAAATTCCTTTCCTTGGTTTTATAAAACAGATATAAGGTTTAGTAGACTAAAATAATCATGCTTAAAAGTCTGCTTTCACCCCTGTCACTGTAAGTAGTAAAATAATTACTGTATTCAATTTACTTTTTTTTTCATAATTGAAATTAGCTTTTTCTTTTTCTTTTTATACAAACACAAGCGCGCGCACACACACACACTGTAATAAAATGCAAGTTTATCTATGCATAATTACCCCCCCCCCCCCCTTCCTTTTAGACTGACATTTTCTTCATTTTTTTTCTGTAGCCATAATTCACTGGATGTAGCAGATTAAGGCTTTCTAAAATTGCAGTTGCTTAAATTAATCATTAGCTAAAAAAAACACCATGCATTTTGCACTAAAAGAACTTACTTTTAGCCACCAAAAATCCCAAACTGAGTCTGCATTTTTTTAAAAATCAAAAAAAAAAAAAAAATCCTATTTAAATTTAAAAAATCTGATTTAAATAAAAAAAATCGATTTTTTAAATTTTTATCCAAAAAAAAATAAAAATCACCAACCCTGATTATTATTATCGTCATCATTTGTGTTATTAGTATTATTATTGATATTAATATTATTATAATTATTTTTATTAATATTATTAATATTACTATTATTGTTATCAACTTTGCGGTCAGATCATGAGCTGCCTCCCGGCTGTGTCAGCGGAGACTGTAGCGGCCGTGTACCAGGACGTGTTTGGAACCCCGCTGGACAATGTGGAGGAGATCATCAAGCACATCCCTGGATATGGCTTCTGGAAAGAGTGAGTACACTCCGATTTATCCAAGACGGCCTTCGTGGGTGGTTGACGGGTGCTCTGATGTGGTTTGTTCTTTCTTTCCTATCTATTGTTCTTTATGTTTCCTCCTTCTTTTTTGTGTTTGTTGCACTCTCGTACCCCACCAGGACTATGCTACTGACTGAAGTTGTCTTTTGGCCATTCCCAAAGGGGGTATATTAGCATGTTCTTATGCCCAGTAGAATTGTAAATGGGCCGATTTATCAATGTCATGCTCATACTGTGCTGGAACAACATAGGCGGAACTGCTGCTTTTTCTTTCGTCATCCGTACTATGGTAATTTTCCCTCTAATTCTTTTGTATGTTTGTCACTCTCTTCTGAACTGCTATTTTTTGGGTGCCTTGATAATGGAAGCAGACTTTGTGCAGTTGAGGCTAGAGAGGTGAGCAGAGTAAGCCTGATTCCCCGTTTGGACTTCTTTATTGACATCCACCCCTTGGTGCTCATATGACCGTATGCAGTTGCGAGCGCCATAAAACCTTACTAAAACAAACTCTCTCGTTACACCTCTAATCTTCGACTCTTATATGACCATATTGTGTTGCAAGTGCTGTAAACTCTTGTTAAAACTAAAGCTAAAACTGAAAGGCATCCTTCCACTGTCGAAGAGAAGTGTGGTTATTTTAGACTGGTGGACATCCTTGACAGTGTCATTATATGTGTCATGATGTGGTGAAATCAGGCACATGTCAATTTTTTTACGCATGTGGAGTTAATGGTATCACCTGAAAGCTGATTCATTTGCCTTGCTTCCAATGAAATAAATATGTATTTTATCTTGAACAGATCCCAAGATATCTGCATTTGAAGGAAGTGAGGCTGCCTGGTTTCAGTGGGAAATTAGTGAAAAAAAATGGTTGTCCAAGTTTGGTAACTCCAATAGCTAAAGAGAACTGAAAAATGACGTAAAATCGAAGTGCAAATGTGCTTTTATACAGACATAAAAGAGGTTAAGCCATAAAATTAAAATTTGATAAAAATCACCAAACTTGCGGAAAAATGCGTGTTTCTCTGATTTTGTTATTTTGACAAGCACCTGATTTCACCATGCTGCCTTACATAGATGCCAGTGGGGGATGGGAAGTGGTCTTTTGTACAGGTGATTGTGTTTGACGAGTGGCTGTTTAGGAGGTATCAGTTAAAACTGACATTTGTTCATCCTCTTTGTGATAAGAAAATAATACATGGTACAGTCTTCGTAAAAGAAATACTTCTTTTTTTTTTCCCGTGGTCCCGCAAAAAAACCCCCAAAAGTCATCAGTGAGTTATTTTGTTAATTTCTATGGGCTGGTTGTGAATTTGATATAATTTTTACGATAGGAAATAGTTTTCAATAAGCTTAGAAACAAGAATATTATCACATACGGGTAGCAGACTGTCCAGTTGTCTTGTTTTTCATCTGCTGGAAATGTTCATTATTGATTTGAAGTGCTGCTCTTTGCTCAGTTGAAAATTAAAAAACCTTTCCATAAACTACTACTGAGTGAGTCTCATTAACAGAAGTTTTGTTGTCATT